TGACTGCTTTCCCTAGGTAAGGCAAGCCACTTCATAAGTCACAAATTCCGGTAAAACTGGGTTGCAGGCTTTCGTCACGCGCACGAGGCCCTTGGGCAACCCAGCGGATGGTGCAAGAGGCCAGGCACTGAGCTCAGCAGCTGGCTCCCCGTTGTGCCTGTGCAGAGGCAGGGCTTGCTTTCGCTGGCTCTTGGGCTCCTGCCTCCGACCTAGAAACCCGTCTGTGTGCTGCCCAAGGTCCAGGCTTTTCCCTCTGCCTCCCAGCAGGACATGGCTGGGGGGGGGGGGTTTGGGACGGGGCGAGCGTTCAGCACGCTGGGGGCGTGAGATGGGAAGAAAGGCAAGAGGCGACAGAGCAGCTCAAGGCAACTGCTTCCAGGCTACAGGGCTTGGTCTTGCCATGGGGGATCGGTAGGGACCAAGAGAGGAGGAAAAAAAGTGGGGTTCAGGGCATGGTGTTGCAAGTTGGGGGATCTGTGCATGGTTTTAAGAAAAAACAACTGCTGAAGCAACGGTCTGTGTGGCTGTACCTACCCCTGGGGGAGGAAACCTCCAAAAGAGGGGCACTGAGGGCAAGCGGAGGGTGAGCAAGGGGTGAACCGCAGACTGCTGGTGCGTGCAGCTCGCCGGCCCCTTCCCCGAGGGGTTTGGTATCTTGCGTTTGTTTGGGTTGGTTTGTTGGCGTGGTGGTGTTTTTTTTTTTTCCCTTCCTGACCGCGGGCTGCTGACCCTGATAAACGTGTCGCATAAGCGCGGGTGAAATGTGTGGGTGCATGACATGTGGTCAAGCCACTCCTCCTCGAGGCTCTGTGGCTGCAGATCAGCCACTGCACGGGCAGGAGCAACCCATCATCCCCGGGGTGACGGGGGACCGCCGCCTCCCAAACTGGCATGGCGTTAATCGGGCGGCCCCTCTCTCCCCTGCAGCGGGGCGATACGGTCACCCCGTCGTCTCCGCATTGCTATCTCCTGGGTGCAGGGGGGCTGGGTGGGGGGAGAGCAGTGGAGAGAGGAGACAACTGAAATGCCCCTGGGCAACAGGCGCAATGGCCGGCAGAGCCCAAAAAGCATCCCAAAGCGATGCTTTGTATGCCATCCACTTGCTCGCAGCTGGGTTGTGGCTGCGAGAAACGTCCCAGTCTCAAGCACAGGGAAAACCCACAGCCATGCAGCACCCTGGCTGCATGAGAGCCAGCATCCCGGCTCGCATAAGGAGCTTGTCCTTAAAAACCAGCTCATGAATCTTTTAAAACAGTGGTAATCGGTCCAGCAGCCAGAGGCAATACCCCTTCGCCATTTATTGGCATCATTAAAGCCCGCTCTGCTGTTAGCGGCAGCCAAGCTAAGCGGCTTTGTGCCGGGCTGACCACACTGCATTGCATGCCGGGGGCTCGGGGCTGAAGCTCTGATGAGCACAGCTGGAAAATCAGCTAACTTCCCTGTTTTTGCCACTAAAAAAGCACTGAAGCACTTGGATCTGAGTACCAGCAAGGCCAAGTCCCACTGCTGGAGATTTTTAGCCTCTTTGAAAATGGAAACCAGGTGAAATAAAATGTCGCTGGCATTAGTTGCCAGAACTGCCTCGGTGCACTCGGATGCCAACAAACAGCTGTCCTGCCCCTACAAGGCAGGGGCTGTTACTCGGCGGATCCATAGCACGTCCGCAATGGGCGCAGTTTGACCATTTAAGATGAAATCCGCAGCTGGAAGTGCATAAATCCCCACAGGGTCCAGCTGAATGCAGCACGGAGAGGGAGGGGAAGGTAAATGGGATTACGGAGAGGATTCTTCTGCCACGCTCTGTCTTCTGGGGTTCATTGGAGAAAAAGTATTTCCCAATCTCTGCTGCCTAATGCCAGAAATGGGAGGCACAGGAGGCTTGGATCAGTTGGGTAGCTCTCCTTGAGGAGAAAAGGGGGTGCAGGGGGTAACCGACCCCACCCTGGGCATGGTGGCAGGTTCCTGTGGCCAAAAATACAGGCATGGGTCCAAGCTGGGCACGGGGGACTGGGTGGCCCATGGGAATAATTTTTCCTTCTGTATAAGCTCCCCCATGCTGCCTGCAGTGGGGTGCTGGACCCCACTTCCCAGAGGCAGCGGGGCTTGCATTGCCCTGCAGCATCTGCATCCCGCCTCCAGCCCCGGCATCCCACCAGAGGCCAGAAAACCCCTCTCAATCCTGGCCAGCTCACGTTAAGGATGCATCGGCATAACAGTGCAGGGTTCAAGGGGTGCTTTCCAATATCAAGTGGGGCGCTTAGGGGTTACTTTGACCGGGTTCCCCCCCCTGCGCAAGACCAGCAGGAGCATGATGGTCTGTGATCACCTGTATGCCTTCCCTCCACCGAGTCACTTGGGGGCACGGGATCTTCCCCCTGTTTTGACTGGCTAAAAATTAGGGAGCTAGTCTGGATGAAAGGGTCAGAGCCCCCACGTATAGGGGAGAAGGTGTTTGCCTGCCAGCAGCGGCACCCGCTGGAGGAGGCTGAGCAGCCCCAGTTGGCTGCAGGAGCTGCCCAGGTGACCAGCTGAGATTAGACCCCTAATTTTCAGCTGGCTAAAGTTAGGTAAAGCATCTGCCCTTCTCCCTCCCTGCCTCCCCCCCTCTCTTGCCTCCCCGTCACTGCACTGCCCTGATAATGGCTGCCTACTTTTTAAGGCTGGAGGCTTTGCGGTCAGCCTGCGGTGCTGTGCCAACCCCGGGGGTTCGGGGCCGATGCTTACACCGCCCCCCGCCTCATCGTCTCCCCTCAGAGCCTGGCGTACGGGAGAGCCGCTTCTGACAGTTAAAAACTTGGATGCAAATAAAAGCAGATGGTGCCTTATCTGCACGCACCTGGGTTGCCTACGTGCAGGCAGCCAGCGACGGCGGTTTATTCCCGGCTAGGAAAAATGAGAGGTCCTTCGGCCGGTCAAAGCGTTGCACAGAGGCCACCAGAGCTCACCGCCCCTGCGCTCCATACGGGATGGAAAGCGATGTATTCATTAGGTCTTAAGCAAAAAAAAAAAACCCAGGGGAGGTGGGAGGGTGGTTATTCCTCTCCACAATTAGGAGCTCTTTGCTCTTAATGAAATCAAGTGGTTTGCATGTCCTGCGAACCTTTCCCGCTCCCCAAATGAAGCGGGGCACGTGAAAGAGGGGCACCAGGGAGGGAGGCACAAGGGGATGCCCCCGGCGGCCCTTCCACCAGTGGGAAAGCATCAGGGGGCTGAGGGCCTCCTCCTGGGACAGGGACACGCCGCACCCTCACGTAGTACGTGTGTATGTCAGGGAGGGGGCATCAAATATTTCTAATTATTTCTGTTTCTACTATTTCTGTTATTTCTATTTCTATATTTATATTTATTTGTATTTACGTACCTATATCTGTTTTTATGTATACTTCCGTGTGTCCCTGGCCGGTGGTTTTCATGACCCTGGGCATCCAGGGCACGTCGAGGTTACAGACAGGTGCTCGCTGTGTATTTTAATGCCCTGCGGAAGCACTGGGGGGTTTGGAGGTGCCGGGGTTCACCTCCGAGGACCGCACAGTGTGTCGGTGGGCACCAGGCGGCTGCGCCCGCGTGTTTTTAAGAAATAAGGGGGAAAACATCATCTAAATCCTACGGGCAAGATGATGATAGTGGCTACATTTAATCTCCCATGAACAGCCGACCAGTCACCCAGCTGGGAAAGGATGGCTGATTGTCACTGTTCTATGTCCCTGCTCTGTCCCCTCACAAAGAGTTGTGTGTCAGTCCCCAAAAAGGGGACAGCCTGTTATTTGTGACCCCCGCCACACACGTGCGAGGGCTGAGCTGATGTCCCCAAAGCACCTGGTGGGGAGCAAAGAGGGCAGAAGAGGGGGGCAGAGGCATTGGGCTGTGGGGTACTGCTGCTGAGCCTATTTTGAGCCCGGTGCTCCCCCTTTTCTCCTTGGTGTCCCTCCCCAGTGTCTCCTCTAGTGTACCTCCTTGCCCCCCTAATGTCCTCCCCAGTGTCCCTCCTTGTCCCCTGATGTTTCTCCCTGTGTTGCCCCTTGTGTCCCCCCCAAATGTCCCTCCCTGGCCCCCAGCGTCCCCCCCTAAGTGTCCCTTCACATGTCTTGATGTTGCTCCGAGTGTCCCTGCCATGTCCCTCCCTGTCTCCCCAGTGTCCCCAGGCGCTCCCCAGTGTCCGTCCTTGTCCCCACTCAGCGTCCCCTCAAGTGTCCCTCCGTGTCTCCTCCATGCCCCCCAGTGTCCTCCCCAAGTGCTCCTCTTGTCCTGCTGTTGTCCCCTCCGGCGTCCTTCCTTGTCCCTACCCAATATCCCCCCAAATGCTCCTCCTTGCCCCCC